ATGGACGTGGTGGGTCTCATTCCTCCAAGTACCTTGTCCACATCCTCGGGTTTCACAAACTGAAAAGAATCCAACAAAATCTGACAAGCAGGTGCTTGTGTCACATCCACGGAGACTGCATCTAATGTGGCGTCCAGCCCAGAACGGATCAAAGCGACTTTGTCTGCAAAGAACCGAGCAAATGCTTCACAGCGCGTTGCCGAGTTGTCAGGGCTCCCACCAGTGGGGGGAGTTAAAAGACCTCTGACAACCCGGAACAACTCCGCCGGACGGTTCTTTGCAGACGCAATAGTGGCCGCAAAGAAAGTTTTCTTTGCGGCTTTTATTGCCGCGGCATATGCCCTCAAAAAGGACACAAACCGTGCTCGGTTTGACTCGCTTGGGACCGATCGCCACACGCTCTCTAGAACCCTCTTCCTTCGCTTCATCGCTGCCAGCTCCTCGGTGAACCAAGGGGCTGGTTTAGCTCGGTTACTTGAGAGGGGACGTTCCGGAGCGATCATGTCAATAGCCCTGGTCATCTCCCCATTCCAGAGAGCGACCAAGGCCTCGACATTGTCGCCTACCGCGGTGGCGGGGAACTCCCCAAGAGCCGTCAGGAATCCGTTCGGATCCATTAGCCTCCTGGGGCGGACCATCTTAATGGGTCCTCCACCCTTGCGGAGGTTAGGGGGCGCAGTGAGCCTAAATCTGATCAGGAAGTGGTCGGTCCATGGCAACGGAGAGATGGACAACTCCTCCACACCGCCACCCTGCTCCCATCCCTGGCAGAAAACCAAGTCCAATGTATGTCCAGCACAGTGGGTGGGGCCAGTTATTCGTTGGGACAGCCCCATGGTTGCCATGGCGGACATGAAGTCCTGAGCCGCACCTGTGAGGGTTGTCTCGGCGTGGATGTTGAAGTCCCCCAGCACAAGAAGCCGTTGAGACTCCAACGCCAGGCTCGAGACCACCCCCGCTAGCTCAGGTAGGGAGACTGTAGTGTAGCGAGGTGGACGGTACACTAACAGAATCCCTATTCTGTCCCGGTCACCCACCCTCAGGTGGACGCATTCAAAATTTGTGGTCTGCGGGATGGGGCTCCTGGTCAGATGGATGGAATCTCTATAGACCACTGCAACCCCGCCTCCCCGCCCTCCGGATCTCGGTTGGTGCTGCACAGAGAAACCTGGTGGGCAAAGCTGGGTCAAGTTTACACCTCCCGCTTCGTCCAACCAGGTCTCTGTGATGCACGCCAGATCTGCCCGTTCATCCAGGATTAAATCCTGGATGAAAGTTGTTTTACCGTTGACAGAACTGGCGTTCAACAGCACCACTTTCAATCCGGAGGGCCCGCTCACCTGGTTACACCAATTTACCTTAGGAGACCTATTGGGAATAGTTAATTTAGATAAGCGGTCCGAATTAGGCCGAATTCGAGGTCTCCTTCTCCCGCATCTCCTCCTTCCCACCACGACCTCTATGGGGGCCCCTCGGCTAGTGGAACACCTCCCCCCCTCCATGCCGCAGTTATGAGCCATAAGAGTGCTTTCTCCTATGCTTGTTGTTAAGTTTATTAGTTCTTGCCAGCATCCCCCCCCCCCCTCCCCCCTCCCTACCACACTCTCAACCCCAGGCTCCGGACTCCCACCTCTCCCGCCCCCTCCACCACACCATAGCAACATAAACAGTATCCAAAGAGGGGCAGGGGAACACATGGGTAGCGGCGATGTAGAAGGTAGTATTGATATAGCTAGTTCTTAAAGTGCAAGGATTTCAGGAGCAGTCCGTCAATGAGCGAGGATGATCGTAAATTTCTTAGCAGCAAAACACATTCAATGCACATTAATAAGGTGCTAGGTCTAAAGTGCTCTACTTAGCGATATAAAGTGCGGCACAGAGGGGCAGGGCAGGGGGGAAAGTGCTGGTGCAATCTAGCAGCGATGGCAGGCGCCTAGGTGTTCTAAATCATTCTTCCTGCAATGATCACAGATGTCAAACAATGACTATCGGAAGTACCAGTTGATATTATACGATATTAACTAAATATTGCTATGACCCCGGTGAGACTCTAATGAGACTCTAGACGGTTGGTAAACCAGCGGATAGGCTTCCGGAGTTGATAACTCGGGGGTGGGGCAGCACGGATGGTTAGTCACACTTTGCTCAGCGAATAACAGCGACAAAGCCTACTTAGAGATCTAATGAAAAGGCTACGCAGCCGTGGCCAGTTCGGATGGCGCTCAGTGAGATCGAACTCGCCCAGGGTAGAGCAGCTCCGCGGTCCAACAGCGGTCCAGCAACCCAGCTGGCCCAGCGACGGTGACTTTCCCACCGGCGGCGGTTGCGGAGGCCAGGAACATCCAGTCTCTACATCCAGCGGCCGGTGGCAGACGGCGGCGGCGGCGGACCAGCGGCGGTGGCTCAGCGGCGGTGGCCCAACACCCGGCCTCTCCGATTTACAGATGATGGTGGCGGTGGTTTGGCGGTCCAGTAAACTGATGGGTGAGGCCTCGATGGTCAGCGATAGCCTGGCGGAGGGTGGCGGCGCGAGGCCTTTTATGCTGGCGGGGCGGACTTGCCCGAAGATGAGAAGGCGGGCGGACTCGGCCGCCGAAGGGGCCGCTCGATGTAAGGCTCGTCCAAGATGGCGGATGGAGGCGGGCTCGCCTGATGACAACAAGGGCCAGCAGCCCAGGAGCCCAGCAACAGTCCAGTCGCCCAGCAGAAGGCCAGCAGAAGCCGAGTGGTGCCGGGTGGTGCAGAAGCCCAGCGGCGCCGAGCGGTGGCTCTTCACCGGCCGCGGCTGCAGGGGGCCAGGGGGCGCCCAGCCCCCCCCACCCGGCGGCCGGCGGCAGCGGCGGCTCGGCGGCTCAGCGGCGGCGGTCCGTCCCTCGGCTTCCCACTTCTACTCCAGCAGCCGGCGGCGGCGATTCGGTGGCCCAGCGGTACAACAGGGGAGGCCAGGCAGCACTCAGCTCCTCCTTCCGGCTGGGCAGCCCTCAGCCGCGGTGACTTGCCGGCGGCCTAGCGGCCTAGCGGCCTAGCGGCAGCCCGGCGTCCCTCCTTCAACGCCGTCCTCCTTCAGCCCTTCCTTCAGCGGCCAGCGGTCGGCCGTTACGGTCCAATGGCCCCTCGGCAATCCCCTTACCGTCAGCGATGGTGGTGGTGGGGCCAGCGACGGCGGCAGTCCGGCTGGCCGGGCCTCAATCTCGGCAGCAAGTGCCGATGGGCCGGGTAAGATGGCGACGGGCAACGGGTGTTTCCTTCACCTTCACTCTCTCCCCAGTTTTCAGCTTTCTCCGGCCTCTTTCCCGGTCTTCTTCCCCTCTGGCGGGGGCTTGAGGCTTGGGGGTTTATCACCCCCCCGGTTTAGAAGGTGGTAGGCAGGGGGGGGCTCCGGATTCCCCCAGATTGGAAATTTGGCCGAGCAGCACAGTGGTTCTTGCTGCCAGCCACCATACCGGAACCGGAAGTATTTAGTACAATCTGGTAATGGAACATAGGAATGGAACAATGGACGACGAATCTGGACTACGCTTGGATGATGAGAAGATTGGGTACGGTTGTTTTTTGTAATAATTGTGCATTGTAATTGCTTATTGGTAATTTATGGATAATGTGTTAAGTCAATTGTTATATGTTGTATGGAACCACTGCTGTTTCTACTGTTTCTACTGTTTGTGAACCGCTGTGAGTCGCCTTCGGGCTTGAGATACAGCGGTATATAAGCAAAGTAAATAAATAAATAAATAAATAATAAATCTAGGGAAGTCAAACTATCCCTCTGTTCTGCCTTTGTCAGACCACACCTGGAATACTGTGTCAAATTCTGGACACCACAATTGAAGGGAGACATTGACAAGCTGGAATATGTTCAGAGGACGGTGACTAAAATGATCAAGGGTCTGGAGAACAAGCCCTATGAGGAGTGGCTTAAAGAGCGGGGCTTGTTTAGGCTGCAGAAGAGAAGGCTGAGAGGAGACATGATGAGGGCCATGTATCAAGATGTGAGGGGAAGTCAGTCATAGGGAGGAGGGAGCAGGTTTGTTTTTTGCTGCCCTGGAGACTAGGAAGTGGAACAATGGCACTAAACTACAGAAAAGGATATTCCACCTGAACATGAGGAAGAACTTCCTAACTGTGAGAGAAGTTCAGCAGTGGAACTCTCTGCCCCGGAGTGTGGTGGATGCTCCTTCTTTGGAAGCTTTTAAACAAGAGGCTGGATGGCCATCTGTCGGGGTGCTTTGAATGCAGTTTTCCTGCTTCTTGACAGAGGGTTGGACTGGATAGCCCATGAGGTCTCTTCCAACTCAATGATTCAATGATTCTTTATCTATTTTGGGTTGCATTTCCACTATTACTTCATCTGCTTCATATGGCTCTTCCATAACTCAAGTTTAAAGACTGCGTGCTCCCTCTTCCAATGTTGAAATGCCCATGGGAGTGGGACACACAGAGAGAGAGAGAACGTTTTGCAGATATGTGGGTGGTTCAATTGGCTATGGCACAAGAATGAAGAATATGTGGCTCTGCAGGTTTTGTTAGGACTACACTTCTCACCAGCTCTTGCTGGGATAGCAATATAGAGGAATGGTGGATGTTGACATTCAGAAACCTACAGGGCCACACATTTCAGAGATTCTCTGGAAACAATGAAAATAACTGTCAATGCTCAGGAGGAAGGCTTCTCACGTAACGCTGCATACCCATACACTATGAATAACATATATATCGCCATAAGAGATTTTGCAGCAAGGCGGCTCAAAGATGTTGTCAGGCAGCCACCTTGCAAATGGTATGTATTGGGAATTTGAAGGAAAGACTAAATAATAATCATCATCATCATCATCATCATCTTTATTTATAACCCGCCACCATCTCCCCAACAGGGACTCGGAGCAGCTTACATGAGACCAAGAAGATTAAACCAAAAATCCTAATTTTGTGAAATTCAGATCTGAAAGCAGCATACATATAATACTCAAAACACATAAAATGCCCCTCTCAATTGTCCTCACCAGATTGATGAGTCTCCTCATGGCATGCTCATGTGAACAAATACATTCACAGGGATCGAATCCGCCTTCTGCCATGGTTGTTCAGAGGGTCTCCACAACTGGATCTTGACAGCAAAGGCCTAGAAAGGAGAAAATTATATATGTGAATCTCATTTTTTTGCAAAAGTTGTCACTTTGCATTCAGTCTTAGGTGATTTGCATATATAGTCTATAATACAGAAATGGCCATAGCTCCCACAAGGCCCAGTCAAGTTGTTGATGACACCGAATATTCATTGCAAATAACTTCCACTTAAATAAGACTGAAGCCACCCTCCAATCACTGCACAAATATAAACTCCACTGAGTTTATAAGTTTGTACACTGATAAAAAGGTAAAGGTTTCCCCTTGACATTAAGTCAAGTTGAGTCCGACTCTACGTGGTGGTGCTCATCTCCATTTCTAAGCCCAAGAGCCGGTATTGTCTTTTTTAAAATACTTTTTAATTTACATACATTAACAACTTACATTGTAAACAAGAAACAAAAGAAAATAGTGAACATTTTACAAACAAACACATAACCCCATCACCAAGCCCTGCACAAGTATCCTTTCTTTTGCTATATATTCATGTCAACCATTAATCAAATGTCATACCCAAAATTCCTGACCAACAGGATTATATTGTTTTCCATTTTCTCTCTCTAAAGAATATTTAATAAAGACCGACCAGTATGTGTCAAAATCTGATCTGTTAGTTTCCCTCCTGAATAAACTCATTTCCATTGATAGTTTATCATTTAAGGCTACGTTCCATACCTCCCTATACCATGCTTCCGGTGTAAGATTAGTTACTATTTTCCAATTCCTTGCGATTATAATTCTTGTCACTGTGAGTAAAATAATCACCAATTCTTTCTTTTCCATTTCTAAATTAAACTTTGTGACATCCATTAGTAATGCTAACCTAGCCTCTGGAGTAATATTTTGATAAATATGTCATTCCAAAAACTCTTCAATTGGGGGCATTCCCACCATAAATGAAAACATGTCCCTTTGTGCATGCCACATCTCCAGCAGAGGTTACTTTGCTTGCTATCCATCTGATGTTGCCGGCATTGTCCATAGACGCCTCCTAAGTCATGTGGCCAGCATGACTGCATGGACCGCCAGTACCTTACTACTACCTATTCATTTACTCACATTTGCTTATTTTCGAACTGCTAGGTTGGCAGGAGCTGGAGCTAACAGCAGGAGTTCACCTCGCCCTCTGGATTTGAACTGTTGACCTTTCGGTCAGTAAGTTCTGCAGCTCAGCAGTTTAACTTGCTGCACCACCAGGGCCCCCACTGCATGGAGCGTCATTACCTTCCCGCCGAGGCAGTACCTTTCAATCTACTCACATTTGCATGTTTTCGAACTGCTAGGTTGGCAGGAGCTGGGGCTAACAGCAGGAGCTTACCCTGCTCCGTGGATTCAAACCGCTGACCTTTTGGTCAGCAATCTCTGCGGCTCAGTGGTTTAACCCGCTGTGCCACTTGGGGGCAGTATAATTTTAAAAATTATGCTGATGTTGATAAATAATGCCAGAATAGGAACCTCAAAAAAAAAAAAAAGACCAATACCTGCATTATTATAATACTACTAATAATATTATATTATAATTATATATTTATATTACATGTAATATTACTACTAATATTACAATATAATGTTATAATACAATATAGTAATATTTAATACTGATATTGTACTATGCTAATAACATAATATATTGTATGTATATATATTTGTAAGCCACTCTGAATCCCCTTTGGGGTGAGAAGGGCGGCATATAAATGTTGTAAATCGATCAATCAATCAATCAATCAATAAAAATTTTCATGGGAGGATAATCTTTTGTGTGTATGTGAAAGGAGATGTATGTCAATAGTAGCAAGGATGAAGTGAAAAAACTGGCAGGATCAGGACCAAAATTGGGCAAAACATACTTCTCTTCTTCTTTCTATAACTATCAACCTTCCTGGCCCTTTCTCCATTATGTTCAATAAACTCCTAGGAAATGGACAAAGCAGTCTTACTCAGAATTTGAACTGGTCCCTTACAAAGAGGGTTTTCTCTTGTTTTATTGTTGCATCTATTTGGTGTTTTCCTTATTTTTCCCCACTAACCCACACATCACCTATCTTCCGGGTTCCCTCCATCTACTCGGAATTGCCAATCTCCAACATATACAAAAGCCATCGAAATTTACCATACCACCTCTAAAAATAATCACATCTGTAGGGTTCAGATTATTTTGTAAAACCAGGTATATATGTCATTTTCACCCAGACATTTTTCAAAGTTTTTTTTTTTTTTTTTTTGCACCAGAGATACTTACAATTTCACACTGAGGTACTGGTGTGACCCAGTCCTCTGGAGCTTTTCTACCTCTACAACAAGTCATAACTAACTTAACTCTCATTGCTTTTAATAGCATCTCATTTTTAATATAAATCACCCGGTTAGAACACCACGTCTTTAACAAATATTGGTTTGCCTGGTTTTTGCAGTAATGCAAATAAGGAAGAGGAAATAATGAAATTAGTTTTATAAGTCTCTTGGTTCCTGAAAGCTTTCACTTCTGCTTCTACATAGACCACTCCTAGATGTGCATTTGCATGTAACACACACACAGATTTCTGCTCAATGTGGTAAATTTAGATTTCTAATTCATACGGGAGTCTCTTAAAGTAGGACAAATAAAAGAATAATATTGAGGTCAGAATTACATGTTCCAAGAAAAGCACGAGGTTCTTAACAAAAGAGCATTTGCGAAAAAAATCAGGGGGCAAGAATGGATATTTTACGTATATACTCGAATATAAGCCGACTGAATATAAGCCGAGGCACCTAATTTTACCACAAAAAACTGGGAAAACATATTGACTCTAATATAAGCTGAGGGTGGAAAATGCAGAAGCTACTGGTAAATTTCAAAATAAAAATAGATACCAACAAAAATAACATTAATTGAGACATCAGTCAATTAAATGGGTTGTTGTAGGTTTTTCCGGGCTATATGGCCATGTTCTAGAGGCATTTTCTCCTGACGTTTTGCTTGCATCTATGGCAAGCATCCTCACAGGTAGTGAGGTCCTGCCTTGCCAGAGAAAGAAAATATGCTACGTAGGTAAACAGTAAAGAACAAGTAGTTTACTCTTCTTAGTTCAGAACAGCATATGTACAATATGATAAGTTGCATCAACTCACCAAATGTCCTTTTATGATTTAAAATGGTCTTTCTTTCTGTATCCATATGAATAACCTTCTTTCAGCAGCCAAGAAGCAAAACAGCCTGTCTCTCTCTGCTTCTCTCTCATCTGTCTGCTGAGCACCTGCTTAGCTCAAGCCTGAACAAAATTCCATGTACCATGCAGCTGTGGACAAGTCTACATAGGGACCACCAAATGCAGCGCCCAGACACGCATCAAGGAACATGAAAGGCACTGCAAACTACTCCAACCAGAGAAATCAGCCATAGCAGAGCACCTGATGAACCAACCTGGACACAGCATATTATTTGAGAACACAGAAGTGCTGGACCACTCTCACAACCACCATGTCAGACTACACAGAGAAGCCATTGAAATCCACAAGCATGTGGACAATTTCAACAGAAAGGAAGAAACCATGAAAATGAACAAAATCTGGCTACCAGTATTAAAAAAACTCAAAAATTACAACAGCAAAACAACGAGAGTAAACAATCAGGCACATCAAATCACCTCTCAACAAAAGATTCCCCCCAGGCACTTCCAAGCCATTGAATGCTAATCAAGGTGATCAGCTGAAACATTCACACCTAGCCCCAGCAGACAAAAGTCCTTTGTCTCACCCTGGTCATTCCACAGATATATAAACCCATTTTTCCTACTTCCAACAGACCTCACTACCTCTGAGGATGCTTGCCATAGATCAGTGGTTCTCAACCTGGGGTCCCCAGATGTTTTTTGCCTTCAACTCCCAGAAATCCTAGCAGCTGGTAAACTGTCTAGGATTTCTGGGAGTTGTAGGCCAAAACACCTGGGGACCCACAGGTTGAGAACCAGTGCCATAGATGCAGGCGAAACGTCAGGAGAAAAATTGCCTCCAGAACATGGCCATATAGCCTGGAAAAACCTACAGCAACCCACTGAACAAAATTGTAACAGTATCCAAAATTGCCAGGCTCAGCCATCAACCCGGGGATTGCCCGACCAATCAGCTTCATGCATCTTATTTTAAAGTTGACACACACACATTCACTGATTCCTTGCATGCTCCTTACTTAAAAGCAGGCACATATAATCACACAATTCATTTATTTAACAGAAATACTGGAAGAACTGCATCACTGATTAGTTCTCAGTTTAAAACAGTTTCCCTGCACAGACCAAAGCTGATATCAGTTTAGCCTAATCTCTGCTCTAACATGCTACTTTTCCATCTGCAGGGAATCCCTCCTCTCACCTGCTCGAAGGAGAACTGCTAATCCCATCCAGATTTTATTTCTGTAATTTAAAAAGTGTCCCGTAGTCCCAGCTTCATTCCATGGATAAATCTATGATCCAGTTTGTCTGCAAGCAAGTACACTAGAGGTAAATTAAATCTAATGACTTTCTCAAGATACAATCATTTTGCTACTAGTGTTCAAGTACACAACCTACACAGGGTGTTCCTATGTTCTATAGTTTTTTCATTGAGAGCGCAGTGGTGCCTGATTTTGCCATAAAATGGAATACTGAGAGGAAGCAACATCATTTATCATATGTTCCAAAAAGCATGGGTACGCCTTTCATATGCTTTTCAGAAAAACATTAAAAGGAAAAGAACATAACAGTACTTTCTGAATGTACCAATTTAATGTGTACAGTGACTCTAAAAACTGTTTATTTATAAGTCATTAAGTCCCTTTAGAAGAACATATCTTTCAGGCCCCTCCTACACTGCCAAATAATTCAGATTATCAAAGCAGGTTTATTATTTACAACATCTGTATCCCGCCCATATCAGCCCAAAGACAACTCAGGGCGGCGTACAAGTCGGCAACAATTAGATGCCATATATAAAGATACATCGGTAAAAGCAAGAAACATCACGATATATTTAAAAACT